CACACAAATTTGTTGGGTTTTTTGTTGGTCTGGTGGAGTCCAGTAAATTTTTATTGGGCTACTGGGCTGGTGCGAACGCGTTTTTGGGAATTTCAGCAAAGTTCAGTAAATCATCCGGTTAAGTTACTGGAATCAGGCAGTTACTGGCACCGGTGCAGATGCTCTAAGGGGTCCATTTTTGGGCCATCTTGTGATCGATCGTTTACGGTATATGAGCATCTGCACCGGCACCAGTAAATTTCACTGTAAGCATCTGCACCGGCACCAGTAAATTTCACTGTAACTACTAGTACTCCACTAGTATTATTAATATAATAGTACTGAGTTTACGTGATCTTGTCATACAGTAGCTCAGTCTGTTTGTTTGGAATAATTCCCTCATTAACAAAACAGATCCACTGTTGTTTTGACCCGAAATACTGTTTCAATGAGGGAAATATTACATCCGGATACACCTTTTCGCCAGTAGCCCTGTAACCTGGGACTCCGTCCTACCCCGGGTGAGTACATACGACGCTAAATCTCCGGGGTTAAGAGGTGAGATGGTATGAGCATACAAAGTTCCATATAAATCTCATTGAAACAGTATTTCGGGTCAAAACAACAGTGGAACTGTTTTAATGAGGGAATTGTACATCTCTTTGACAACACTCTTTTGGTTGTGGTGTTAAACTTTGCTTCCCATCCGAGCGGGTTAAATCCGAGCGGGTTAACTTACTTGGAATTAGACCCGACTACCACGAGACAGAGCTGTAACAGACCAATACCGAGTGCATTTCCTCCATTGAAAATCAATTATGCATGGACTTGCAAAAATTTCTACTGTGCATTCTCTACCTATAATGCTATACAATTCACTAAGCCATTCAATTGTAAGCTTCGATTGTCACTCGACACTACTGTACTGTACTGGTACACTGTACTTTTGTACTCTGGAGTACGTTATCCAGATTGATACATTGGCATTTTGGCCAGGCATAAATTTACTGTACTATTACTTCGAAGTATCCTCCGCTTTTGTAAACCTTCCACAGCTGCTGTAGAAACTTGGCGGTTTCGGTCGTGCGAAGTTGTGGAATTAGGAGGTGGAAGTGCCAACTTTCCAAGGAGCAATTGTTGGTGTGGCAGTACGGATACCAAGCGATCGGAGTTTACCTCTGTTTTGATGAGATACACGCCCATAAGCAGTACTATAAACTGCAAGGCGTTACACTTATCCCAATGAAGTCACTGGGAGTCCATACTAGACTGATTGCTCCTGAAATGGATGCATGGTGCGCTCACATCGACATCGACCAATATCCGGATGAAATTCTATCTTCCTCCGGTTTTGAGGTCAGGGAGATTCAGCGCTTGAATCTCCAAATCTATTTGAGTTATTAATACTACACACGTAGTATACAATTTGGAGATTTTATTTCAAAGGACTTATTAAGTCAAGGAGTATTTTGGGCTATCTCAACTCAAAAGTGCTGACCGAAACTCTATTGCCGACAAAGACTTCCCTAAAAATGCTTGCGAAATGGCAAAACCATTAATTTACTCGTATACACGTTAACCTATTAATAACGTTACAGTAATATTAATACATGTACCGGTAGTAAACCGTTAGGATGGACGCCCCACATGTACATACATGTAATACTTCCGGATGCTGGACTTTTAGCCTTGGTAGGGCAATTTTACGAATACTAAACTGCACTTCAATTCTGTGAAGCAAAAAGCAAGTACCTGGTACCACGTAGTACTGTAGTACTTCAATGTAACGTAAACGATCAGTTCTTTCCCTTTATCAATTCTTGCCCTCTTTCATTTTTCACACTCAAGTCTTTTAATTATATTCAAAGAATAAGATACAGCTACAAGTTTGTTTTAAACGCCTTGTCCATATGTTTCCTGACACTTCAAAGGCATGCTGTGAAATCAAATCAAAGTGGGCAAACAACTGGTTCGGCAAAAATCACAACTTCTGTGTTTAATTTAACATACTAGTACTACGTAGTAATAAACAGTACTGTAAATTACGCTATAAATAATACTCCAATTCGCGGTCACATAGGAGTTATTGTGATAAAGTTTCTTGCTCTATAACTGTACACCTGCCCAATTTTCATTTCTTCATGTGGTACTATTACTACTGTATGTAGTATGGCCAAAAAGCTACTACTACGTAGTACTACACTATTTATACTATTATAATAGTACGTTGTACTAGTATAAATAGTAAAGGAAAAAAGAATTAGGTCATGATTTGATCGTTTATGTTATTACCAGTTGAACTGCGGATATATATTTCCAAGTGATTTTTCTCAAAAGTCTTGCCAGGGTACTAGTAATAGTACTAGTACTAGTACAGTACAGTGTACATGGCAACCCTGGCACGTACATACCAGTAGCCGTCTTTCAACCTCACCCACCAACCCACCATACGTACTGTACCTACACAAACTGCGGTGCAGAACTAGTACCGTATTACTGTACTCGAGTAATACCTGGTGTACACTAGTCTGCGTAACGTTACTTGATACTGTAATGAAATCTATGCAGCTTTGCAATACTAGTAGTACTAGTACTACTAGTATTGCATAGTACTACTACTGTAGTACCGGTAGTGACGACCAAGTTTGGCATTATTCAGTGGCAGGATCAGACTTGTTGCAAAGTAAGTACCAGTACAGTACGATCAGCAACGACTGCGAACTTTATATAGCAAAATTGTTGGGGAGGGTCGATCACATAACCAATCTCTGAAAACACCTAACAGTAAACTGATGTTATGGGGATATGGGGATATGGGGGGCTAAGTTGAAGACGCAGTTCCAGCTTCAACTACAGTTGCGAAGCTGTGGGACGAAATACTGTCGCCACTCGCTGACGAAGCGGCACTGAATTGAACCAGCCAATGAGATCGCGGCCTACAAGATCGTGTCTACAAAACGTGACACGGCCGAGAACTTTGCCATGCATGACCATTTCTAGCCGTAGTTTATATGCAAAGGTACCGATTGTATCCATGGAATATTCTTCAGCCCGAGATGTCGTTTGGAACTTGTGCGTGGGGCGGCTATCGATGAGACTGATCCAATGTACCTGCAGTTCGGGCCAGCAGAAAAACATACTACAACCTACAGTACGAAATGAGCATGCCATCCTACGAAATCCCCTCTGGCATACATTCAGGGGACAGGTACAGTATGCGATTGCTCGTGTTGTACATACAAGTACGTATGGGGAAGTGCATGGGCAAGACTATTCAAGCGACAGCCTTGAATGCGTTCGACAGTCGGGACTGACCTGTTTGTTGATGTTGGCCAAATGACATAGAAATAAGTTCATTCCGTCCTCGCAGCCATCATTGAAGCTCAAGCAAGAATTGGCAAGAAAGTGCGGCTTTGTCTTTCTGTTTTTACTCACAATCACACAAGACTGTCATATCCATGGACGCTGTGTGGGACGTACTGCATACCCAAGGACGACGAAATGGGCCGTAATTCATCGATGAAATGGCTCCTAAAAGAACCCATTCACAGATGAGATCAGTATTTTGTTCCAAGTGCAGAGAACGTCAAAATTGTGCTAATTATTTTCACAAATTTAATCAATCTCGAAACATATCTTGATTCCAGTAGGACGTCGTCACGTATAGAATTATCATTCAAGTATAGGAATCAAATATGTTTTTATCCCAGATGGTCGCGAGGAGGAGGAACGTAAGTCATCCAACTCTCGTTAAAGTTCGTTCGAGGTGTCCAACCAGGTACGCCCTCAATGCAAACTCATAATAATAAAAACGCACAAAAATGCAGAGTAAGCTTACATTACGTTCTATATAACATAAAAATGCGAATTATATTAGTTCCCCCTGTAGGTTCTTCGCACTTTATATCGCTGGCTCTACTTGTACCACCCTGTAACCTCTTTTTCACGGCGGCATTTTGCAGTTCATTTTCCAATCTCCCTGTAGGAGACTGTCCGCTACCAGCCCAACCACCCTTATGGCTTCTACGACAACAGACCACATATTCTCTGTCGTGGAGTATGAGCCATCCTACTCCAAACCTACCCTGGAGGAGTCACCAGAACAGGATACTACAGAGCAACCAAAGACAAAAACCACGCCACGATTGATTGTAGCCACGATGAACGTTGTGCTCATATCCCCCGAAGAACCGTCGATGGAACCATTGAAAACCGCGCCAGCCCTAAACGCGCTCGTCCCGTCCGTCGACAACAACGCCAGCACCCCGCGGGATTGTGCCATTTGCTTTGAAACGTTGCAAGCAAAGAACCTGTGTGGCAGCACCACGTGCGGGTCGCGGTTCTGCGACGGCTGCATCCAAATGTACCTCCAAATCAAGATTCAAGACGGTCAAGTGCGTCGCATTCGGTGTCCTGGCCTAGGCTGCACTGCCATCTTGTCTTCGCACCACATCCACGGCTACGTCCCCACCGACCTTTTCCAGCGGTACCTCGAGCTCAAGGACAAACTCCGCTCCGGTCGCGTGTGTCCTCCATGTGGGCAGTCTGTGACATCGTCTGGTCGCAAGATTCACTGCCAGGCGTGCACAGCCACCACGTGCGGCGACTGTGGCGAACCGTATCACATGTTTGCGTGCAAGGACGTGACGTACAAGTCGTGGCGCCAACACACAGAACACGACGTCCGCTCGTGCCCCAACTGCCACGTAGACATTGAAAAGCACGGCGGCTGCACCCACATGGCGTGCACGCACTGCGAGTTTGAGTTCTGCTGGCTGTGCCGCGTGTCCTGGGACCGCCACACCGAAGCAATGTGCAAGCCGCTGGCGTTCCTCGAGTCCGAGTCCTCATCTCTCGGTCCCAATGCGCCGATCCGAGCCGTGACCAAGTCCGTGGTGGTGGTTGCCGCGACGGGCGTTGCCGCCGTTGGCATCGGCATCGCAGCGGCGCTCGCACCTCCCGTCCTCCTCTTCAACGGGGTGAAACACCTCTTGCATCGCCGAAAGCAGGCCAAGACCCTCAAAAAGCTCGAGAAGTTGCGAACCCTCCACGCTTGATGCGTAACACCGCAACTTCAACCATGCTGCTTATTTATACCCTAATATTTATATACAATTATATTTGTTTTTTTATTGGAAATTATCAGTCATTGAACGACGACAAGAATATCCGTACTGTAATGTTTACATCTGGCACAAACAAGAGATGCGGAAGGTTGTACGGTACTATTAATAGTATGTTTACAGTACAGTATACCAGTTTGTGTACAGTACAGTACAGTACAGTGTACTAGTATACTGAAGCAGCTCCTCCGTGCATAGCAGCAACATCAGTGAGGCAGCATGCATTCACGCTTGATGTGCTGGCACTCCCATGTATCAGTAAGTGTGACGTTGATAACGTTATGGGGCTTTTGTCACGGCAATGAACCTGTGCGACCACGACACGTCGAACCATGACAACATGCTCAAACAGGAGGATGTTCTCGTGGGTTGGGTGGTTAAGGTGCCGTGCTTTTTGTACTTGTTTGTCAAGGAATGAGCGAGGAAGCATGGCGACATTCCATGTTTGCTGAAGGAGAAGCCCCCGTCACTCGCGAGTCCAAAGAGGCTTGGACGCTTCGTTTTGGATTCTTTGCTTCTCGTCTTAGAAAAGATGCAAGACGAGGAGGAGGCGAGGCACCGCGATCACGCGAAGGATGTAACGAGTTGTTGTAGTAGGCAGCCGCTTTACCCACGAGAACGCGTCGAAATGTGTTTGGATGTTGCTACAGTAGTTACACAACACTACATACATGAACTTGGAGGACTATCACACGATGAGTCACGACGATGTACTAGATTGCAAGTGACCAGTGCAGAGCATGAAGCTATATACGGTACTGTCAGATACGAGGCTCGTGTACACCGTGGTAGTTAGTGTATACACATGAGGGCGGCCGGTAAGCTTGTTGTCTCGAGGCTGTCCATTCATTTCGTTTCACGATTTGCGCAGTGGTGCTCCGTGGGTTGTTTTTGATCAATATGATTCATGCCAACATGATACCCGTATATCGACCCATACTCGACAGTTGAATTGCATGTCGCTGTCAAATCTACTTGTAATTCGGGCGATACGCTGCATCACCGAAAACGAAGATGCGAATACACGTCAACACGCGCTTGGTGATGCTACTGTGTGTGGGTAGGAGCCCGCGTCAAACTCGGTTATATGTATACGTTCACTGTCGCTCTACCTTGCCCTCTACTGCAAAGTCCCGCGAAGAGGGCCCTCGTTCCTTGTTTGATTTCGAATTTACGCAGCAACCTTGAACGCTTCATGGGCCTTCTTGATGGAGTCGACATCGACGCGGGTGCCACGTTCGCCGTTGGCCCACTTCCACGCGGCAAAGTCGATTTCACTGCGCGACGCGATCTTGCTCTTCAAGGGTTCCTTGGTGGCAGCACGCACAACCACGGCGGCCTTGTTCACATATTGCAGGTAGGACAAGCCTGCCGAGCGCCACAACGAAGTTCCTCCAGGGGCCATGATGCAACTAGGAAACGAAGTCCGTTCAAAAGTAAAGGACTCCCTCGTCCTCCACCACTCGCACTGAAGTGAGGTGGCGGTATAGAATTACACAGTTTTATTCTATAATCTAATGGTACGTAACAATACATACCTCGATCCAGACATTTTCATGTATCATTCACAACGATTACCTGTATATTTCTATATCGTACGTTGAGGGTCGAATACGAAAGGCAACATAAAGTTACGTCGCACTTAAAATGAACCTCAATTGAACCAATCGGATTGGCGGAAACGAAACTTCGAAGTACCCAGGAATACGAGACGGTTGTTTGACTGGTGACCACAACAAAGGTTCAACTTCAGCGGATTATCATCATGCTGGTGTTCAAACCTGCGACGGTGGCGGTTGCTGTCGCCGTAGTCTCTGCATCCATTGCATATGTGCTGTGGAAGCAACGTCAGCAGGAACAAGGAACTTCACCCAAGCAGTCGGCTCGCAAAGAGTCCAGTGGATGCTGTGGCAAGGATAGCGCTACGACCACAGGTTGCTGCCAAAGCAGCACAAACGACGATAATGTCGAAGCCGAAGAACACGCCAAACCAGTGGCTGTTCGCATCTTGTACGGGACGCATACGGGCACGGCCAAAGGTACCGCATTGAGCCATGTTGTTGATGTTAACCCTTGACGACTGGTAGGATTTGCCACGACATTGCAGCAGAAATTGTTTGCCCTTAACGTGGCCGGGTATGCATTTGAGCCATCAGTGGTGGACATGAAAGACTACGACCAAGTACGCGTCCATCAAGCTTTGCTTTCCTCGTAACGTTAGCTACAACAATGATCGTAACGTGGACACAATGCTTTGTAGGACAACTTGGAGCACGAGCACGTGCTGATTTCAATCTTGTCGACGTGGACAGGTGGCGTGCCGCCCGAGTCGGCGCTAGTCTTTTGCAACTGGCTGCAGGACATGGCGCAGGACTTCCGCGTGTCCAAAACCTGGCTTAAGCACGTTCATGTGGGCGTGTATGGATTGGGCAATTCCGAGTACGACGAGCACTATGGCAAGGCGTCCAAGGCGCTGTCCAAGCATTTGAGCTCCCTCGGGGCGTCGCGGTTGTGTCCTCGCGGGGTCGGCGACGACAACCAGGACCAGGCAGCGCAGTTTGACTCGTGGAGCGACCACTTGATTGCAGCCTTGTGTGAGCAATATGGCGCGCTGCGTAGCCCAGCTGCGTCGTCGTCGTCGTCACCTTCTGTCAAGCCAAAGCAGCAACCGGCGGGGTGGAAGTCGCAAAATGAATTCCGCCGCCAAAAGCGAAAGGAAAAGGCGGCCGCAAACGGCGAAGACACGGAGGAAGCAATGTGGACGGCCGAAGACCAAATGAACGAGATCGTGCTCGAGCTGGACCAGGGGGACGACAGCGACGATGAAGACAACAGGCCCAAGAAACCAGACAGCGGCGTGGTGGACGTCGAGGACATTGGCGTCGTGATGAAGGAGTCTGAGGCCGCGGCGCTGTCCCGCGAAATGGTCACCCCCCTGCAACGCAAAGCCCTGACCAAGGAAGGATACAAGATCATCGGCACCCACAGCGCCGTCAAGCTGTGTCGGTGGACCAAACATCAGCTGCGCGGGCGCGGCGGATGCTACAAGCACACGTTCTACGGCATCACGAGCTACCAGTGCATGGAGACGACGCCGTCGCTCGCGTGTGCCAACAAGTGCGTGTTTTGCTGGCGCCACCACAAGAACCCCGTGGGGCGCGAGTGGCGGTGGAAGACGGACGACGCCAAGGAGCTGGTCGAAGGCGCGATTTCCCGCCACCAAACCATGATCAAGGAGGTCAAGGGTCTGCCGGGGCTGATCCAGAGTCGATGGGAGGAGGCGTTCACGGTGCGCCACTGCGCCCTCAGCTTGGTCGGGGAGCCCATCATGTACCCGCACATCAATGAATTCTGCCGGGAGCTGCACGCCCGCGAGATCAGTTCGTTCTTGGTCACAAATGCGCAATTCCCAGAGAAGATTGCGGCGTTGGAGCCCATCACCCAGTTGTATGTGAGCGTGGACGCAGCGACCAAGGATTCGCTCAAGGCAATCGACCGGCCCTTGTTCAAGGACTTTTGGGAACGTTTCCTGAGCTGTTTGACCCAGCTCAAAGCCAAGGGGCAGCGCACGGTACTGTCTTTCTTATACCCTAGATATGGTCTTTTGTGCTGGTTCGCCATATCTATCGATTGATTATTCGTTGTACTGACTTTTGTATGTAAAATTCGTCCAGTGTCACACTAATTTAAGTCACACACTAATTCGATGTTGCATTGGTCGAATAGTGCTTTTGAGTCATCTGGGTTTTGATCGATTGTCTGCCGATTTGGTTAATCTGCTCATTCGAGTGAGCACCCAAACTCTCCAATTTCGAATCGACTTGACAATGCGCTATATATGAGAGAGAGAGATCGCCGGACGGATGGATGTATATGTGTAGGTGTATCGCATGACATTGGTCAAGGAACACAACATGAAGGAGCTGGACAACTACGTGGAGCTCATCCACCTGGGCGAGCCCGACCTGATTGAAATCAAAGCAGTCACGTACTGCGGCAAAAGCGATGCGTCCGACTTGACCATGCAAAACGTGCCGTACCATCAAGAAGTACGCGACTTTTGCGAGCTGCTGTGTGCCAAGCTTGGCGGCGGGTACGAACTGGCGACGGAACATGCGCATTCCAACTGCGTGTTGGTGGCCAAGACCAAGTTCAAGATCGATGGCCACTGGCACACGTGGATTGACTACGACAAGTTCCACACCCTCATTCAAGCGTACGTTTATTCTTGTGTGGATGGATGGATGGTCGTCGTATGCATATATATTGAACTCTGTCCAGCCAAACATGTGAACGTGTGATTGTCCCTATCGATCGAGCTTTATATGATTGAATTCCATGTGTCTACTCAATCCTGAAGCCCGTCCGGGGCTTCTCTTGGCTCTAGAGGCTCCTGTTTTGACATTCTACTAAGTGTATGCTGTTGCCTTTATTTACACTGGTGTTTGGTCGTGTGCCAGTGGTATTTAATTGCGACTAACATTCGTCGGGGGGGGGGTGTAGGTACTACAAGGACGGCACGCCGTTCACGACCATGGACTACATTGCGCCGACGCCGGCGTGGGCAGTGTACAACGCCCCCGAAGCTGGATTCGACCCGATTGAGACGCGCTTCCGGCGTACGAAGGAAGGCAAAGTGGTGGAAATTGAGTACACTGCCACCGATTCGGGCTGCGGTTAAGCCAACAGACGGGACTTGTGTATGTTGGTTGTTGGGGGCATAATGCGATGGAACGTGTCGCTTTCTCTAACGTTATGCGAATAATATACCCCCGTCACGTTTACAAACATGTGTATTATGCCAGGACGCGAAAGAAGAACTGGGTTTCGAGGCTTCCGTCTTCGGGGCTATCCGTGCAATGCACGGCGTTCTGCATGTTGGTGAGACCATAAATGCCGCGGAGGGTCGTGGGGGCCAACTCCCGCGCCACGTGCACGTCGAACGGACCACAAAACGACTGAAAACGCGGGACGATGTCGTTGCCTCGGACTTCAATCGCCACCAACGGCGCACTTGACATGTACTTGACCAGTTCCTATCCCTTGATACATGAGACGGGCCAGTTTGCCGTTTGGACAACACCGGGGAGTAGTCACTCGTACGTGGTATTGGCGGGTCACGGGCTTGTAAATCGCGAGAAACTCATCGATGGCTGCAACGGGAACGTGGACGAGCTTGAGTGCGGATATTTCAAACCCCGCCAAGAGGATGGCATCGACCACCGCGCCGCATTGCCCTGCAAAAAATGACATGGAGCGTCAGTGTAGCAAAAGACAGGAGTAGTAAAAGTTAAACGAGAAGGATGACAGCAACATGACATGTTACCGGTCTTGACCACTCGTGGTCGGATGAGGCAGAGCGTGGAGCAGTCGTCCATGGCGGCGGTGGTGGGAAACGCGTCGGCGTCGAAGAAGCAAGGCGCAGCGCGACCGGTGACGACAAAATCTCGAGCGGAACCTGTGTGATGTGAGTGAAGATGCGTATCATGGAAGGAAGGGCTGGTACAGTACCGAGCTGGCGAAGGGCGTCCGCCACGGCGGCAGGGGCTCCAATTGACACTTCGATGGCCACAGAGAAGTCACGTGTCCACTCTTGCGCGCTGGCCCTGCGTGGATTCATGATCAGAGAACGTGGGATGAAGTAGTTTGTACGGAGATGGATCGATGCTGTCGATGTGTTTGCTGACAAGGGGCAAGTCCGTGGTCTTAATGTGAATCATGCGCATCTTCACGAGCGCGAGGTGGCATCCCTCGAGCGCCGACAGGATGCGTCCAAGGGATCGATACCCCGCGGGTTTGATGAGGAAGAGGCTGTTCGTGCCGCGGGAGGCGAGGAGGTGGCGCGTGTACTCGTTGGCGCAGTCGACGAGGTTGATTTGACGGGAATATCTGCAGCACACAATAAGATGCCGAGAATGGACGGACGGGGTAGTACACGTACACGGACACGCAAGCACCGACAAACAGGTCCACGACTTTCAAGCTGGGAAACTTGATGCGCTTTAAGAATGGCTTGAGTGACTTTTTGTCCACCTAATGCAATATGGGGGTGAATACACCAGTCGTCGAGATGAATGTCATGGCGCACCATATCAAGGGAGCCATCATTGACGTAGTACGTGAGCAAGAACGATCTTAAGACTTCGGCTTGTGGGTCGAACCATTCCGCCACGAACGAGTAGACGTCCCCGTCGGCCATGGTGATGTCTCCTAAGTTGAAGAGTCGGTCGCAGTTTCACATTGCACTTCCGGATACGACAAGTTTCCGGTTAACTCGATTCCGCGCGCTTTTTCAACTAACTTACCAATGCATCAACCATGACCATGTTCGCATGCCGTCGAGGCGAACGGACGTTTGCACGTCGAAGGTATGGGATGATACGATATATGGCTGATGTGCGGGAGGAGACATGTTTGCGTCCCTTGTCCCGTCGGTTATCTCATGCAACACGATACGTTTCAAGCGTACTATTTTTAGCGACGAGCCGTGCTGCGGCGACGACTTTTCTCAAGGGAGCCGGTGTGCCTGTCGATGCTGGAGTAGAGGACGACGACGCCGACAACAGCAACGTTATCAGTGATTGAGCGCTAGAGAACATCCACCGCTCGCTAGCTCCATGGACGACTTCTTTTTCAGCGAAAAAGAGGCGGAAGGATGCTTTGACGGCGACATGGTACGCCATAAAATTCTCTTTTTATGCTTGTGCCAAGGGTGCTGACTCGTTCCTGCACAGAGTCCTTCCGACTTGGAGAAACTCGAAGTCGAAGAAGACATGCCAGAGGTTCCGCGGGCCGACCTACTCTTACGAACCGGGCTCAAGCAGCAAAAGCTCAGCGTTCTTGTGTCTCTGCCCAAGGTCCTCGCCGCCACCAATTCCAAAGAAAACCTCGTCACAATTCTCGATGCCATCAAAGTACGTTCGTGCACACGATACGTAGGGCTTAATCAAGCCCGTAGCACGTGTGGAAGAAAGGGGAGGCCGAGAACGACGTGGATATCATCAACGAAGTGTTTACGTGCCTTCAAAACCTTGCCAGCATCACATGCGACGGCAAAATCATCACATACCCCATGACCAGTCTCTTTGAAGAGTTCGACGCGATGATGCGGCAGTACCACGAGGAAAAGATCACCGCCGTCTTCTTGTTGACCGACGACCAAGTGACCAAGCAGTTGCTGCCGCTGGTGCTCGAATTCGTGCACGAGTTGCAGGTCAAGGACCATGCCGAAGTCGCGAGTCATTGTGTGGCCGCCATGATTCCCCGGCTGTCTGGATCGCTGAAAAAGACTCAAGTACAATGTGAAGTGTCTTGATTGAGCTGACAATTTGTTTGTCAGATCATTCGCATTGGCATTGAAAAGGGCGACGTCTCCCAAGGCGCGGGGTCGCGCCTCATTTGCTGCCTCATTTTGGGGGTGCTCACCGCATCGACGCTCTTGTCCGAGCAAGACATCGACGGGCTGTTCTTTCAAAAGGTCCAACAGCACCCCCCCTTTCCCCCCCTCATCACGACTGATGACTGACAACGATAACGACGTAGATGATGGCACTGTGTCAAGACACGGACGCTGAAGTTCGAAGGTGCATGTGCATGCAGCTGGATGCCCTCGCTCGTGCCGTTGGGTGCGTACCAGCCATATTACCCTAGTTCTAACAACGACCCATCCACAGGCAACTCAAAGCCAGCTCCGCGTTGCTTCCCGAGTTGCTCGAGTTGCTTCAAGATGAAGAAGAACAAGTACGCATGTTGTCGTCATCATGGTGCAGTGTAACGTTGGTGACTGTGCGTGTTGTGTTTGCAGGTCAAAGTGATGGCTTTTCAGACGTTGCTGTCGTTGTACGACTACTTCCCCCCGCGGGACCGCCGCGACGTGATCCTCCCCGTGGTCGCCGAGATCCTCGAGCACCCGCCGAGTTATTTAATATCGCCACTTGCGCGTTTGTTTGGCCGCCTCGCGTTCAAGCTGTTCACCCTGGGGGACTTTACCTCCGATCACATCGCCACGTTCCAAGCGTGCTACACCGCCCTGAGCCGAAGCGACAGCCCCGACGTCCGACTCGACTGCGCGCGCAACTTGCCCGCCGTTGTCCAAGCTTTCGGACCTGCCCAGTACTCGCCCCACCTTGACGACCTCCTCCAAGCGTTTACCCAAGACACATCCGAACCCGTGCGTGTGACTTCACGACGAAGCGTCCGAAATGATAATCGTCCATGCGATTCTGTAGATTCGTCGCAGTGTCGTGTCGGGGCTCCATGAAGTCGCGGCGCTTCTCGGTCCCCAGCGCGCTCAACGATACCTCAAGGCCACATCCTTGGCCGTATTCAAAGATGAATCACCCACTGTCCAAGGGCACCTCATCGCGTGCCTTCCGTCGTTTGTCCCCACCATTTGCACAGGTGTCGACGACGACACCAAGGTACTGGAGCCACCTTGACTAGTCTGACTTGGATGGTCGTTTGTTGTGCCTAGAATACGTACATTGACGCTATGCTCAAAGCCATCTTGCATCACCACACGATCCTCGCGGCGGGGAGGTGGCGGGAGCAGATGGCAGTGTTGGACGCGCTTCGTCACTTTCCCACGTTTGTCTCGTCCACGCAACTGTTTGAACGCGTGTGTCCGTTGTTGTTTGAGCTCATGAACGCAGTACGTTGATCAAATCCTTGTTTTAGAAATATATATATTTATGGATGTAGGGAGCCCGACCGGTGCAAGTAGAAGCCGCCCGCGTGCTTGTGGCCGTGAACCGAGACAATAAAATCACAGCGAATCGGGTCAATGTGCTCTTGCGATTGCGCAAAGAGTATGCGCTGGGCAAAAACTTTTGGCAGCGGACGCTGTACTTGGACGCGTGCAATTTTGCGTGCGACTGCTACAGCCACCAGTACTTTCGAACCAACTACCTTGATCCGGCCATCGATTTGTTGGAGGTATGAGAGAGTGCCACGTATATCGACAGGACGCCAACTCCCCCCACCACTTCTTGTTGCGAAGAATATGTCTAAGGATCATGCTAACGACACCGTTTGTCCAGGACCCTGTGCCCAATGTGCGGCTGAAAGCATTCGCGCTGCTGCCCAAGTGGAAACCCGTGCTGCACGTGTTGAATGCCGGGGATGACAAAACGATTGGCCGCATCCGCAGCTTGCTGGACGGATCCCACGAACCCGACCGCGACGTGCTCGTGGCCATCCATGACGTTCGGGAAGCCTGGTTTCACGACAAAGACGACAAGTCCATACAAGAGATGGCGCTGGACGCCAAGAAGGCGGCGGCAGAAGAAGCCGCGAGCATGAACGGGGACCACGACATGTACTCGTCCGAAGCCAAGTGGAGCGAAATGCTCGAGTACACGCTGATTGTGGGCAAGGACGGCCAAGTCGTGCGACGGGCGCGGGTGAAATCCATTGACATTGTCAACAAACTCCGCCAACAAACCAAGGATATGACGACTACACGTGGCAACACGACAGGAGGTGGCGCCAACCTCCGCGCCACGACCACGGCTGCCCTCGCCAAAGCCGCCGCGTCGTCGGACAAACCCACCACCAAGTTGCCCATCACGACAACCCCCATGAAACAACAGCCCATGCCCCTGTCCACCCTACCCACATGCACGCCGGGGTTTTCCCAGTTCAATTCGTCCGTGGCAGCGAAAATGCCCAGCGCTAGCGGCTCGTTGTCGGCGCGGGATGGCAAAGGCAGCAACGCCGCCACCAGCGCTACGTCGCTCAAGCAACTTGCTGACGCCAAGGCTGCCATCCGGCTCAATCCGGCCAAGGCGGCGGTGGCCCCCGGCAGCACCAGTGGAGGACGATCTACAAAGGTACCTGGTTTCTTGGGTTGTAAATTGTCCTACTGACTACTATATTTACCTGAGCACAGAAAGATGAGACGTCATTGACAAAGATCCCAAACATCCCAGTGCCAACGCGACCTGCTGCGGCGCCGCCTGCAAAGCGCGTCCAGAGCCCGTCCACGACGAAATCGACCACATTGAATTCGAGCTCTCGCACGGCATCAACAGGATCAAGTTCGGCCTCGTCCGTGTCGGCAGTTAACTCCAAGGTCACACCACTGGCCAAGCGCTGACCAGTACACGAGTCGTAGTAACTAGGGTAGACGATAACGAACCACACATCATCGCATTCCTTTCTGCTACATCGTCATTCTGTTTCAAAAGCGCGCCAATGGGAAACCTGTGAAACGTTATAGATGATATGTGCCATTCGTGAAATGGCTGGGTTCATCATATGTCTGCCTGTCACATTGTACACTCTGTCAAGACGCCAATACCGTAGCATTTCCACTCTTGGCGTTAATGAAGACCTAGTTTCTTGACACATGTGTCCTCAATACCGTTTCTGGTATTTACTAGCACTCCAGGAGTAGAGTACACGTACCATGTACTCCGGAGTACTAGAGATCATAGACTCGTCATAGCTACGCAACTTGAAGCTACTGCAAGGTTTGCATCAATCCGCATACACCCCTGGAGCCAATCAACACGTACAATCTATCCAATACGATGTGTGATTGGCGGAGACTGGAGACAACGCCTGGTCAGGGCCAATGAAATCGCGCGAGTCGATTGCGACGTGTTATTTTGATGGCGGTGATTCAATTAATTGTGACAGGTTTTCGATCTGCGGTGCGCAGAAGCGACATTTGCAGTCGGCTCCTCCTCATCTCCAACTCCACTCCACTTTCTGAATGTTTGCCTCCAAGGTTAACGTCCGCCGATCAATGAGCTCCTTGACGAAGAAGACCATCAACCCTCGCATCGTCGAGGCTGAGTATGCCGTCCGTGGCCCTTTGGTGCTCAAGTCCATCGAGCTCCAGAAGCGCTTGAGCGCCGGCGAGAAGCTCCCGTTCGACAAGATCATCTCGTGCAACATTGGCAACCCGCAATCCCTGGGTCAAAAGCCGATCCAATTCCACCGCGAAGTGTTGGCGTTGGTCAACATGCCTGGCTTGGTGGACCATCCGTCGGCGCCGTCGATCTTCAAGCCGGACGCCATCTCGCGTGCCAAGCGATACCTTAAGCGCATTCCCGGCGGCACGGGCGCGTACGGCCACTCCAAGGGCTCCGACGTCGTCCGTGAAGAAGTGGCCCAGTTCTTGCTCGAGCGAGATGGCTACGAAGCCGACCCTGATACCATCTTCTTGACGGACGGGGCGTCGCAAGCGGTGCAATCGATCTTGTTGGCGTGCATCCGCGACGAAAACGACTCGATCCTCGTGCCCATTCCCCAGTACCCGCTGTACTCTGCTGCGATCGCTATCAACGGCGGCACCTTGAGCGGGTACTACCTGGACGAGTCCACGGGGTGGAGCATGAGCATCCCCGAGCTCAAGCGCACGATCGCCGACGCGCGCGCCAAGGGCAAGTCCCCCCGCGCGCTCGTCGTGATCAACCCCGGCAACCCCACCGGCCAAATCCTGAGCGAAGACAACATGCGCGACATCATCACGTTCTGTAAGGACGAGAAGCTCGTGCTCATGGCGGACGAAGTGTACCAAGAAAACGTGTACGTGACCGATAAGACGTTTGTCTCGTTCAAAAAGGTGCTGCGCGACATGGAGAGCAATGTGGAGCTCGCAAGCTTCCATTCGACGTCCAAGGGGTTCACGGGCGAGTGCGGCCGCCGCGGCGGGTACATGGAACTTGTCAACTTTGACGACGACGTCATGGAGGAGCTGTACAAACTCGTGTCCATCAACCTGTGCTCGAACATTGAAGGCCAGCTCATGGTGGCGCTTATGACCAACCCCCCCAAGGCTGGCGAGCCCTCGTACGACCTGTACGTGGCCCAACGCGACGAGATCGTGTCCTCGTTGAAGCGCCGCGCGGTCAAGTTGGTCGCGTCCTTCAACGAGCTCGAAGGCGTGACCTGCAATGTGACGGAAGGCGCCATGTACACGTTCCCGCGCATCACGGTCCCCGCCAAGGCCGTTGCCGAGGCCAACAAGGCCGGCCAAGCACCCGATGCGTTCTACGCGTTCGCCCTCTTGAACGCCACGGGCATCGTGGTTGTCCCGGGCTCGGGCTTTGGCCAGCAAGATGGCACGTTCCACTTCCGATCGACGATCTTGCCGCCCGAAGAAGCCATCGATGAAGTCATCGAGAAGACTGCCAAGTTCCACGCCGACTTTATGAACAAGTACCGATAGAGATGTAGAAACATGTAATGGAGATGCCAAACCAAATGTCAAAAACAGTGGAGTGGAGGGGGCGGTTGCTAACTAAAGCGACTCCCCACGACATTCCCGCAGACGGGAACGCTGCTCTGGTCGAAACCTACCCGAACTGTCAGTACTTGGCAATGAGCTGCTCACTCCAAAGCGTGGCGGATGGTGTTGCTGTCATGTGTGGAGCATCACCTCATCCTTCGTCAGGTGTTGTTGGGGTGGTGTTTTGAAATCTCGATCCATATCCGGATAAGACATTTGATTGGAGCATCACGAGCCAATCCATGTCGAGTACGGACGCATTTGGTTGTTGGTCCAGTGCAAGTTGAAAATGCAGACGCAGTCCGCTTCGCAGGTTGATATCGCGGCCGTGACGAGTCTGTTGCAATGGAAGTCCAAGAGCAAGTCCGATAGACACGCGGACGAGTCGTCGTCCATCGCATTGGCACAGCAACTCTTGGCCGATGAGGCCACTGTCGCGGCCATCGAGCGCACCCTGCATATCTCGCGCACTCGCGTGCTGCAAGCCATGTTGGAGTACGCTGTGTTTTTGGCCACCAAGGGCGACACATCACCGTCTACAAGTGCCCACTCCTTCCTCTTTCTCTCCAAGGCCATGCTCCAGACAACGTCGTACCAGTTGTCCCTGCTCTCGTGCACCCAACTCCTGCAAGCCATGTCGCGAGTTCTCGCCGAGCACGCCGCTGCCTGTCGCGTCAACTTGTCTTCGTTTGACGACGCTCTTATCGACAGCTTGTCCGCCGTGTTCGTCCGTCTCTTTGAGGCGGCATCGACCGCGACGTTTGTCCCTCGCTTTGGCAATTTCAAACCGCCGACGGACGTGTACGCAACCTTTTTCCACTCGACCTTGACGTCGTTGCTCGCGTTGGCGGCTGCAGCTCCGTCTCCAACGATCGCTTCGTTCGGGTTGGCTATTCTCAAGACCCACCACGCGCTCCAAACGAACCAAACAAACAAGAAGAAGGTGTTTCTAGCTTGCAAGCAATCGTTGGCCACCCTTGTTACCCTCCGAGCGTCCACCGCCGCCCTGCTTCCATACAGCGCCGGCATGCTCCAGGCACTTGACGTATCCATCGCCGATGCACTGTTCGACCCCGAGCACCTGCACGGGTACGGGGGTCTCGTGGTGGCGACCACGACGTACCCGTCGCCGCCAACTGCCCCTGTCACGGACGAAAACGCTAGTGCTCCTGCGAAAAAGAAGGCCAAGGGTAGCGGCGATGGCCGTCGAAATGGCGGCGCCACGAGCCAGTTGCAGCAGTCGTACCAGCACGGGTTGTTTGACGAGATTGGCCGGTTGGTCGCAGACGCGTCCCATGTCGCCCCGTTTATGCAAATGCTTGTGCGCGAGTATGTCGTGTACATTCGTCGGTCGAGTGCAACGTTCGTCGACAAGAAGAAGATGGGGGGGGTACCGCAAAAACGAAAAACCGGCGCGTCTTCGTCGGCCAAAGCAGACGCGATTACGCCGGCGTTTTCATTCTGGCTCGACATGTGTGCCGTGACCACCACGTATTTGCAACAAACTTGCACAGCAACAACGACACGGCAACAGCAACTGGCCAACGGAAGTGCATTGTGGCATGGCCTGTGGGATGTTATGAACGCGAGCGACATTTACCGTGTCGCAGAAGACAACGCCAGCCAACACCAACTCTATTACCTCGAACAAACCGTGGCGTCCGTGATGCAGCACCTCGAGTCGGGTGCGGCCGCCGCCACCGACACGACGCTGCTGTCCAACATGGTGCAATGCTCGCCCAAGATTCTGCAGCCTCACTTGGCGCTTGTGTTTTCGTACTTGGCTGCCCACGCAACGTCCTCTGACGATAACGGGGCGACCCGCGCCGCCGCCTGCTTGGCGCGCCTCGTCGAATCTTACGATGCCATGCGTCTCTTGGAAGAGTTCCTTGCCGTTTTGTTTCAAGGCGACGCGGCCTCCCGCCATATATTGTGCTCGTTGTTTGTCCACGAAGAAGGTATACACCTAGGTGCAGCTATTCGAGGCGCGTTCGCGAACGTACCGGCTGGCCAAGTCGAGTCGCTGTGGCTGTTCTTCCACGACGCGCTGTACCAATCCATGCATGCCAAGGCGACGACCACCGTCGTCAACGACGGGCAGCTTGGACTTGTGCGCACTGTGTTTGCCTTGTACATGCAGGAAGTCCCGGCGACGGAGCACATTCAACCGGCCTTGCTGCAATGCGCCAAGCAAACGTTCGACCTGGTGTTGCTACCTCGTGCCATCCCGACCCCCTCCCCCTCGTCGTCGTCGTCGTTGTCCCCCACAAACCAAGTGTTGCTGCAGCAGGAGGCGCTGAGTTTACTCGGAGAGCTCGGAGCGTTGACGGACAAAGGGGTCGACATGTCATTTGTCGGCCCCGCCGTCTTCGATACTCCCGTGATGGAGGTATTTACCGCTGCGATCCCGTCCATGTTTGGAAACCACGACCACCCGTCGGACCACGAAGGCGGCATCTTGAAGCTGTGTGCTACCCGCGTCCGACAACTCGTGTCGACATTTCGCACGTCCGCCGCCGAACCCATCGCGTCGTTCGTCCTTGGCCAGGCGGTCGCTCGACTCGACCATGTCGCCATCGTCACCCCCTTCCTGAACGAGCTCGGCCACGCCGCCACGGCGGCTTCGTGCGCCGAGTTTGTGAATACGATTTCGCTGGCGGCTGTCAGCCATACGCTGCGCCCCAACTTGTTCTTGGACGCAGGGTTTTACGAGATTCGACCATTCTTGAGCGTACTCCCTGCTGCGTTTACGTCCATCTTGACACGTCGGACGCTGGCAGCAGTGTGGACCAAACCCCCCCCGTCTTTGTCAAAAAAGAAGGGGGGCAGCAACTCGAAAGCGGCGGCTGCAACTTCCACACCAACCCCGCCGTCGACATTGCCCGAATTGCGAGCCCTCCTGGAAAAGCAACGACACACGCCGACTGATGAGGCGTCCCTGCTAGCCCTGCACGCCGCGGTGGAGTTTATGATGACGGTGCCCTTGCCCAATGAATTTGGACTGTCATCGGAAGGAGCCGCGTTGTTTGGATGCATTCTGGACGTGGAAGCGTTGCTGACGTCGTTGTCGACGAACCCGGAAGCACTGGTTGAATCGCTGCATGAATGGTTGCGATCGTTGTTGGCTGGGGTCGTCGCTCCGTTGGCGCCACCTGCGCTGACCTTGTTGACCACGTGGACGTCGGCGTTGCTTACACGCGATGCCTCGTTGCAGAGCAACTTAAAGCTGTGGAAACCGATCATTCGCGTGTTGGTGCACTTTCATCCTAAGCACATGGCGCCTATCCACGACGCTGTCGTGGCGTCGGCCACCTCCTCCAAGACTGCGACGATGGACGTGGTCGCGCTCTGCCTGGAAGCGTGGGGGGGCTCCAACCATGCTGCCATGGGCGATCGATTCTTCCAAGCGTTGTTGCCGGCGTTACTGGCTCGCTTCGAGCACCCCACGCCCAACGACGCGCACGTGTTGGCGGCCGCGGTGCAGTACTGCCATCGAGCCAAGGGGGGGCGCGTGCCCCCTTCGTTGCTGCCGTTCGTCGGCCCGTTTCTTGCGGTGGCCTGTCGAACGATCGTCCAGGACCAGCAACTGGGTCGTCACGTCGTTGTATCTTCTCGCAGTAGCAGTGCCCGTCTTGTCCACATCGTGTGCGCCCACGTACAGACGCTGGCTTTGGATTTGGCAACTGTGGGCAGGCTCGTGGCAACGTTGCTGGTCGGCGGCGGCCACAGCCTCGACGACGGCCTATCGTCAACTTCGTTGGAACTGCTCGTGGAGAACGCCACCCCCGACGAGTTTCACCTTGTGTGGCGCACTCTGACCTCGGAAATCGCTGTCCTGCACGACCCCGCGCGCGTCCTTGCCGCGCTCCGCGCCATGTTGATGGTGCTGTGCATGGAACGAGCCCCCAAGAACCAGCGGGTGCTGGCGGATTCGGCCAAGACGACCCTCGCCACCCTCGTCAATCTCTGCAACGACGATGACGCGGCTTCACACGTCGTGACGGAGATCCATGTGGCTGCCCTCCGCGTGGTCGCGCAAGCATTTGCCAAGGGGGGCGACGCGTTCGACTGGCACGCTGCCGACATCCACGTCGCCCTTCTCGCCCTTCGCCCGCTTCTGTCCGTGGTGGCCTCCCCCTCCTCCCCCCGCCCGTCAGCCGGCCTTGGGCCTCAAGTGTGGCAGCAGTCGTATTTGCTGCTCCTGCGACTCTTGAGACAGTATCACACGACGTTGCCGCAGTATTTGCCGCACTTTGTCGCAGGTTGCAATGCGCTCCTGCGGGCGTTGCTGTACGCCGCCGCCAAAGCGGACTCGACCGACCACAATCTGCTGCATTTGTGGGCGTCCAACCTGACTCGGTTGTACGGGTACATGCTGCCGCATGCGACATCGTTCCGAAAACACATGGTGTACATGCTGTCCGAGTTCTTCTACAAGCACGACGCGTTGCCGGTGGACGTGCAAGGAACGCTCCGTCCAGGCATTTACGCGCTGTTTGACATTTGCTCCAAGTACGAAAAGGAGCAACTGTATGGCACCCTCGACGGCACCGGCAAGGTCCTACTCAAAGCCATCGACGCACACTACAAGGAATCGCACCAGTACACGGGCAAGGTGTAGTTTCCGTGGTCGTCATCCAAGTCGAAAGCAGTCGGCAACCTTGAGAATCAAATTTATTGTAGCTATGTTCTACTGAGTTTCGATATGTGGATGTCGCTTCGACCTGCATGTCGACCACTTTCGCAGAGGCGAGGGTGCATGGTTCCACGTGAAATGTCGTTGTCATGAAATACCTCAACGTTCTCCGTCCGAAGGGACTCTCAGCTGACTCGGCGGTAGCCTGGACAGCTTGGACAAGGATCTGGTCGTCGCGTTCAGACATTGGGCGGCCGGAACGAGCGATTGGCTTGATTTGGCCAGTCATATTGGACGCTTTAAGGATGTATTAGGCTGTAGCATGCGGTAGCTGAAGCTCGAGGGCTATTTTCCTTACGGTCGGCTCATCCATCTTGGTGGATACGAGCAACGCTCAAGTTTCGGCGCATGCTCCGTTCTGCGAGTTGTTGTTACTCCGGAGTACTGTACCTTGCACGCTTTCAAAAATCCGGATAATGGTACATTCATTATTGATACACGGAGTGATCGTCTTTCACGGTTTTTATACGCCATCGCTGCATTCGCCGTCGACAAAATGACGACGATGAGCGAAGACATGAAGGTGTCGGGAGAGCTGAACCGCATGATCCAGCGAGAGATTGAGACGATGATGGATCGCATGGAGAGGTACGACTTGGTGGTCGTGATATTGTTGCATCGGATCCATGATGGAACCATGTAGACTTCGGCTGCAGAGCAAGTTTGCGTCGTTCTCCAAGGTGCATGTGCCGATGGTGCTGGTGCTGGGCAACCACTCGTCGGGAAAGAGCACTTTCATCAACCACATGCTGGATCAAGACGTCCAGAAGACGGGCCGCGCCCCCACCGACTGCATGTTCACCGTGTTGATGGGCGGGAAGCGTGCGGAACGTCTCGACGGCCACGCCTTGTCGCGCGACAACAAGTTTGGGTTCCAGGACATCAAGGGACTGTTCGGCGCCGACTTTGTGTCCCAAGTCGAGCTCAGGGTGCTCGAGGAGTGCACGCTGCTCGACTCGACCGGCATGATGATCATCGATTCCCCAGGCATGATCGACCCGCCTGGCAGCACGACGCAGTCCCGGGGCCGCACCGACATGGACCGCGGGTACGACTTCAAGAAGGTCGTTCGGTGGCTCGCGGGTACAGTACGCCATTGATCTATCGTGTCGCGAGCGTTGCGTCACACCAGCTCAGCTAATCCCATATGCCTTCATCATCATCATAGAGCGAGCAGACCTCATCCTTGTCATGTTCGATCCGGACAAGCCGGGCACGACGTTCGAGTCCCTCGACGTGCTCACGACCTCGCTCAATCACGTCAACTCAAAAGTGCGCCTCATTCTCAACAAGGTCGACGATTTCAAGACTGTGCACGACTTTGCACGGGCATATGGCGCGCTCTGCTGGAACCTGAGCAAGGTCATCCCTCGAAAGGTGAGAGCTCTCGTGCTTCTCCGTTCTAACTTGGGCTTGAATGCCACCTAACGCCATCTCCGGGTGATGTTTCTCATCTTGTCTGATTCCTAGGACATGCCGTTCATCTACACCATGTACGTACCCGTGCGCGGCGGGGGTTCCCTGGCGCAAATGTCCAACAACTCGGAAGAGGCAATGCTGTCGTCGCTGCTGCACACGGAATTCGACGGCACCCGCGGCGAAATTCTCCGCGAAGTGCAGCGCGCCCCCGACCTTGCCACCGACAACCTCCTCACGTCGTTCAAGTCCCTTTGCGCCAAGCTAAAGGTGTGTCCCTACTTGATTGGAGTATTTGACAATCACCAATGCCATCCAGCGTCGAGATGCTCGTTGATGAAATGCGGTCGTTGTTGTCATCATGAGATATTTGATTAGATGCACATCACGTTGATTGAAGCATGCCAAAAGGAATACATGTGGGTAAAACATCTGTGGCATGGTATCACGATGGGGCTCGTGGCCGCGGGCGTGGGGGTTAGCGCCTTGTACATCTTTCGGACATGGGGGGTGTCTTCTTCCTCGTTGTCGTCAACTCCTTCGTTGGACACGACTCCTACGACCTCTGGCGCGTCGGCGACGTCTGCGGTGCCAGCGTGGAAGCAAGAATGGACCAAACAAGTCGCCCAGTCCAAGGTAATCAACAACTCCCCAAGCCCCCCCTCGCCCCCCCGTCATCTAACGATAAAGGGCAAATGGGGGGGGGGCTGACACGTCATCTGGACTTGTCCTTCTGGCTTTATCGTTTTTGGCGTTACATAATCGGACGTCTGCTGATGGGATTATGATTTGCTTGCGTGGTTCGTAGCGAACGTTTCGATGGAGCGAGTTTGCGAAACTCTCGGGCGCCGCCACGGCCACGTCGTTGGCATCGTGGAAGGCTGGTCAGCGCGCCTTGGCCAAGATGCAGGCCGACGTGCTGCACTGGCTGCCGGCCGTCTTTGCCTCTACCTACGCGTCATTCTTGTGCAAATCTGACCGCACGCACGACGAGACCATGGCCACATTCAACAGTATCCTGCCTGGCCTCGAGATGGCGCTGGCCCAGACTCCGTTGGAGGCGTTTGGGTTGTTTCCGCCGGTGGAGAAGAACTACCTTGACGAAGTGCTCGCGGCTCACGTGCCTCGCCTGGATCGATGTGTGCGGGATCGCACGGGCGACGACTACGCGTACCTCCGGTTCAAGCACATTGAAAAGCCATCGCTGCAGTAGAACAGTCTAGTCGTGTGTTGAGAACCGAGATCAAGAATACTACATGGATTTAGAATGCACATGGGAGTGTAATCTACCTGGTGTGGTCAATCATCTATTGTAAGTTTGTAGTACATACAAGACGGGGGGGGGTGGACGGTGGTGGTGTAACTATAGTTGTATTGCATGGTGCACCTTGGGTAAGACGAATAGACACTTGAGCGACGTCACTGAAAAGTACGCCATTTGACATTGTGAAACTCTATGACAGCGCACGTGTAACCCTGCAAAAGCTACTAGCATACTACCAGTATACTGTTGTTGGTTGGTACTCAATTCCAAACCGATCACAGCTGGATGTGTTGTGGGGTTAAGCATATATTAATATGCAATTGAAATAACTATGAGCTGACGACTTTGTTCAAGACTGTGCTTGGTGCTACAAAACGTGGTAATAGAATGCTACGTTGTGGTGTATTTCTCACCATGTGCTTTCCCGCGGCAGCCAAGCGAGGAGACGCCGCTGTGCTTCCAAAACCACTGGGCGTTGTCCGTACGGTCGAACCTTGCTTTTGAAGTTTACTGGGTGGTTGTACAGTAGGTGGTAACCATGCATGCCTTTGCACACCTTTCGGCTTATCTGTTATCGTCGCCCTCCATCGAATTCCAAGCCCCAGTATCGCCACTGTATGCGGAATCACATTCCAGCAGGGCGATGCAAGGGGGTGACCCTTGGGGCATGGTACAGACTGACAAATTCTCGGAGCTCGTTCGCTTTGGTTGAACGGTGGCATTAGGTTTTCCGGAAGTCGATGTAAGCCACCGTATCCAGATCGTGCTTGGACTGCTGCGCCGACGGGATGTGCACTTGGCACTTGGAGAACGTGGGTCGAGAACATCCGTGGCATCGTGGCCGACCTGGCTTTAAAGGGGCGATGCAAGTACACCAATTGGTGCATGGTACTCCAGCTTCGAGTCTAACAATACGGACAAATAGTCACCTTGTTGTTCATTGAGGGTTGAAAGGGACGTACGTTGAACATCTCGTGGAGGGCATGTGGTGGACGTGGTCGAGGATGTACCGTTGGCGGCTGTTTTTGTGAACCCACTGCACCGTTGCGTCCGCATGAAACTGAGGAATGTGCTTGTTGAAATGTACGCAGCGGGGTAGCTGCGCTTGGGGTTACCGCTGTAATAATGCACATATTCAACCGAGTTGTTTGTCGTGTATTGCGTAAACACAAACCACTCTTGGAACTGCATGCGCACCACCTCAGGCACCGCGGGCATGCAGGGGAACGTGTCCGCTTGACGGGCGAGGAAGAGGACCGCTTGTCCGAGTTTGTTTCTCGTGGTGACCGAATACATCACCACCACCCCTTCCCCGGATGAGAATACGCATTGGGGACCCAACAGCCAATCAACTGTACCAACCTCAAAGTACGTGGCATCGCGAGGTTGGAACAGCTCACGCTCGTCCAACTTGAACTTGACGTACTTGACCCCGGTCACGTCAATACATACCCACTCAAGCAGTCGATATGTATGAATGAAATGAAAGTCACCACTGTGAAGTTCGCAGAGTACCCCAAAGTTCAAGTTTGCAACTTGCTCACGACACCGTACAGTACTATAGGTTGCACCTCGTTTCCTTGTCCACAATTTCCTATGCGCATGCGAAAAACTAGTACTACGTAGTACTACAGTACTATCGTGTACTATTAATACTCGGAGTAGTTCGATCAAACCACAGGTACGACCAGATGTGGATTCCCCAACATTCCATTTTCAAATCAGCCAGATACTTCGCTCATATCTCCTACATTGGTTGACATAACAAGTGCTAGCGCATACCCCTCTTCTTCCGTAATGATTGGGTATCTACAGGAGTTTGGCATGACCCCCGAAATCCCCCGCCCGAAGAGCTGACCTAGATTTGAGCTTTTCCTCTAAAACATACCAAATCCGGTTACTTGCCAGCCGAACAACCACAACCCTTTAGTGTCGTTCGTACAATCGACACTTTTCTGTGAAACACACAAATCATAGAAATTTAGGAATCGAGCGAATAGCGTAGCGAGTGCACATGGTCTATAGTTACTACGTGTATTCGGAAGGGGTATAATCTAGTGAGCACCTCCATGAGATTGAGATTCAAATAACATGACAGATGACCACCAAAACGAATTCTCAATGTCTATCAATGTGCTCATCACAGCAGCGACAAACTACTCGCCAGAAATCACGAGCCTTGCCACGAGGCGTAGGTTAGAGTACAAGTAAGCCCTGGAAACTGGGTTTAACATCGCTTGAAGGATCCTTGTTCTGCAGCGTGCAGAGCAATTGGATCGCGCGTCGTTTTGACCCATTGCAAACGCACACACTCTGTGTGTGTGTCGTGTCAAAGATTCCGATACCTTACGCTATTAGTGGTGGTACTGATTACTTTAGTGAATGACAGTCAGTAGGCGCCTCGTGATGTGCTTAACCTCACTAATGTCAATGTTATATTTGCTACCTTGACGAAGGTCCCGTGGCCGAAAGCCGAGAAGAAGCAGGGGACAATATACTAGGCTGCATGCCAGACTAATCGACCCTCGAAACAGCATTGGTGTCGATCTACAACCTTCACATTCTGCACATCGCTGACACAATCACGTAACCCCAAGGTCACGCAGCTCTTGGAAGCCTTAAATATTTCCCGCTTGATGTGTGTGAGTGTAGTGGGGGAACTTGGAGAGAACTTCCAAAGGTTGAACATACGACGACAAGATTTAGCACGTACTCCGTATTACGTAGTACTACCGGTAGTACGCAACCTGATTCTATTTTAATGGAATAGCACTATGGGACACAGCTCCAAGCAACTTATACTAGTACTAGTACTAGATAAGTGTAGTACTAGTATTTGTTTCTGTGGAAAGTCATCATGTCATATGGTTCATACCGATAACGGCAACGTCACACATAATCGATGATTAACGTTAACGTTAGCGCTATGTTCTGTTGGCTAATGTTAACTTTTGGATTGGCATTGCTACTGACGACTGAGTGCCTACACGTGTCCAAGAACAATGAGGGGCAAACCAAGTAAAGGAAGCAACAGCACTGTTGAAATCCCCAAAGAAAACAGTCAGTGACCTCTGAATTTCTATTCAAAGTGCCTACTACAAAACGGAAGGTTACAGTAAGGAAATTCTCTACCTTAATGGACTTTTTTAGAACTCGAAAATGATGAAGCAGGACGGAGAAGCAGGAATGATAGCATCATATCACTTTTAATTTGGTGGACGTATGCGCCAAGGAGCTTCGGATGGGTACTTAGTGCATGGGGTACGTGGCTTGCTGCATGTCTTGATGAGAAGCCGATATGAGTGGGGGCAGCGCGACTCCAATGAAACACTGAAGTAGCCAGCTCTCGAAAAACGAAACCATGTTGGCACACGAATGAAAAGAACATACGAAGAAGTAGGCTTAGAACAGACTTGGGTTGACCTATGACGCAACATCGTTCGGGTTTCACAACCCAAGAAATCAGAGGTAGTACGCAACCCCTCCCCGGAATGGCTCTCACCTAAGGCCACGACAAGGTTATGGCCCTAGACCACCTTGTCACATTTTCAGAGTATGCCAATCAAGATGCATCGAGCCAAAATTGAACCAATTAAAGAGAGAAATCAGTTATACAGATCCCATACTTTGTCCTATATGATATTCGGCGCAAGCGTATCCGGATGACCGATTCCCGGATATTTCGTTTATCCGAACAAGTATGCCAAGAATTCGGACCGGACTGCTGTGTTGCAGCCAACACTGGGCAATGACCAATCAACCCTCCTGCATGGTGCATTTGCTGCTGAGGCTGCCAACTTCGGCGTGGCAAGAAGCATCGTCATGAAGCACCGTGCGCCTTATTTGGAAACGTGCCGCCGTCAATTTCAACGACAAGCTCGACCCATGTTCCGACGTGTCGCCACGCATCAAGGTCCATTGAGTTTCATACGCAGCTGAAGGATCTTGATGTGCAAGACGTTATCGACGATGATGCCACTTACATTTTGCAAATCCTGGGGCGCAATAATATTTAAAATAATATCACTTGATTTGTATATAATAAATTTAATTGACGCAATGGATACACAGTGGTACACTTGTAGCAATCGTTGTGGAACTTCAAGATTCGCCATTGTAGCGAACATTTCAGGACAGAGGTAACGTTAGTATATGTAATAGCCCGTACCATTACTTTACCGGTGGCCACCACGTTGCCATGACTACCGTACGGGTACAAAGTACTGTAATATAAGCCTCCGACGTCCGTATACTATGATTGGTGCATACTCAAAGACGATCTATGATTGGTGCATTTTCATACGACATAAACTGACGCAGTGCGTAATAAATTGGCACTTTTCGTTAGATCTATTAATTACAGTTCATATCGATCCTGCTCGCCGTCGAAACCGCAAAAGTCGACTGGATGTCCTAGCCAGGCCGAAGACCCATCAAACACACATGCGTCCAATGGCTGGCTGACACAACCAACGACCTCCATCAAGCATTTGTCTGCTTCAAGAACGTCAGTACAGTGAACTTTTATGGCCGACTCTTCATAGCACATGGCCATCTTGTCGTCGACTGCTTGCTCTTCATGGAGGGGGGAAGATAATCTGAGTGCATTCAAGCTGATCAATGGCATTTCCAGGTCTTCAAGCAAGCTATCGATGACGCCGCACAGGGTTGGCTGCATGTATTTGCGGTGCCGTCGTGACCGCACTCGACAACGTACTGCATTCCAATCCAATGAAGTCGATCGACTTTGCAGGTCATTTTCGACTGCCAAGCGAGCGGCCTCGAGCGCTTGCAGACACGCACGACGCTCAAACGAGGACATTGCGTCTAGGCTAGGTTGGTTGCGCTTGTATGGTACAATTCCAAGCCTGGCGGATTTCGTCAAACGTTTGCTGATGCGCATGGGGTCGCACTTGATTATGCTCGCCAGCCACTTGCGAATGCTATGGCCTGGTTCGACACATTCCAACAGCCCGGCCTTGAAGAACTTGGACAAGAGCGCGACGTACGCGACTTCGGCCTCGGTCCACGTCCCCTGTCGAAGCGGTCCTTGCAGGGGCTCCACCACCAGCGACACGAGAGATGGTTGATGAACGGCGTGCATGTGAGCTCGACAAAGGAAAATGGAAAATGACTTGTCATGGGTTCGACGATACCAAACCCCGAAACTGGATTGGAGCATTGTCAGACCTAAGCGGGTGACACACCACTACGTACAAACAGTGTTTTGAAGTACTACGCTGTAACTGCAAATACAGTTTGGTGGTGTGTCTGGTTAAAAATGTGGCAAGTTGGATACTACTGTAGTAGTGGTGAATTGTTTGCCATTTACAGTAAGTACTACAGTATTATACTTCAAAGTAATAATACATGTAAGTTAGTACAGGACAGTCGATACCCCAAAACCTGGGTAGTGGACTTCGGAATGCACGTAATATGAACTGTAGAAACTTATAGCCTTGCTAAATTGGATGCTCTTCTTTTCCCTGTCATTATACAATTGCAACGTCACTACCTCTTTAAATGAATCCGGATAAAATCGGTACCGGTACTATCATTAACCCTTGCCTCAATAATAGACAAATGGCAATAAATATACCATGCACACGACATTATTAATGAAAGAAGTGAGCGTGCTTCTGTGTGAGTGAATGAATACACACGTCCCCTTGTACTAGTGAATATTCGCATCATACCACTATCAGGATCCGTCAATTGCTATCTTACAGTCGTTGCAGTGATGACGAGTTGGGTGGCGAAGTGAGAAGCTTCTTTGACCTTCAAAGAAACCATGAAGCATACAATCTCTGGCCTTACGATGCCTTCTACGGTACCCTCATTTTTCTAATTGCTTGTTAATTGGACTTGATCTTTAGCAATAAATGTGTACAATGTATGTCATCAAGCTCACACTCCATCTAATTGTTGGGTTGCGATGGGATTCAACTTTACAGCTTTACTCACTACTGTAGTGGTTGTAAGTATCCACTACGAATGCTGTGGTCGTTGGCGATGAGCCGAATTTTGTTGATTGAAATGCGTAATGACTCGGCGTTGCATTACGATCCCAATCCCCTTTTAGAGCTCATCGTTACCCTGTCTTTGCCAGGTCGTGCCGTGAGTTTGTACACTGTGACGCCGTACTGTCCTTACACAGGGTTATCAACAGGGGGATCTAAGGTTACAAGGCTACACTGCTTCCCTTGTTTACAACAATTCTGGCCACAAAAACGCCCCACTGTTGCAGCGAGAGAGTTGGCTTGCAACGGCCACACAAGTGTACGCATCCACTACAATGTGGTCGCCCCTACAGCCCTTCCTCGAGATAATACCGAGTGAGGCTGACGCCGTACATCTATATATATAAATGAAGACATCAGCCAACTTGGATCGCGTTCACACTAACAACTTCGCATGATATCATTGACGGGTGCGGTAGTTGCTTATGAAGGTCCAGCCAGGGTGATAACGTTACATCGGTCAACAGAAATAGCCTGTGCAATCTCGCGTGTTAACAGTAACCTTAGATTCAAGGCAAATCCAAACTTCTGTGGTACATTATAACCAACAAAATCGCTAGCGTAACGTGTTTAAGCAAAATCCGAAGCCTTCGCATAGGTAATGGTGTGGTCGTTGTGGGTTGGACTGATACGATTGCGCAAGGCACGGGATAGTCTCAATCAACCTACCCATTAAACTACATATGTGTTCCAACAAGGGGGGGCAAGGACCTCTGTTCAACCTACTCCTACTGCATACTGGTATTACATGTAGATTACTACTGACGTTACCAGTACTGTAGAAGGCAATTTCGGTCCATGAAATGCAATCACGGTATGTACCGTATTTCTCGAAGATATCACGTACTACTATTAATACTCCTACTTTTGAAGTAGTACATACATACACTACCAATACAGAAGTGCACTCTGACCACCGATCATTTCTAGTTCTGGGTCATGTTGTGGGGGGGGTGCTCGTCCTCTAGTGATATCTTATACTTCGTACTTGTATGGATTACGTTTTGAGAGTTGTCACGAAGAAGGGAGTTGGAACCTCGTAGAGACACTACCAACCTGCCTATATACTGTTATGTAGACGAATATGTTTATTGTTTTAAGGTTCACATCAACTTTGGGACAAAATTGTTGATGACCACTTGCAGGAGGACACTGTATTTTGCATTGTTTTGAGTTCCCAGATGACGAATATGACTTCGTGTGACGATGCCATGCTGCAATCCACTGGCGACGGGTTGTTGCATATGCACTCAACAAGTAACCTCTTGGGCCATAGCATGCCATGACGTACATGCAACCAGAGCTCGTGCTAAGGCACTTTACATGTATGCCATCATACTTGACTAAAATGAACTTTCAGTTAATTAGCCTCGGTATGTGGCGGCATCAGATTCTTAAAGTTATTACTACTAACTACCTACTACTCGGAGTACTGTACAGGGCCACTTATTCCGTCGTTACCTATCTGTACTACTACTGTACTACCCTAGTACTACGTAGTACATGATGATGTGTTCTCAGATTGAATGGCTACTTTGGCAGGCTCAAAATACACCAGTACACCACTGTACAGTATCAACCACTGCAAGTTCAAAGACAACTCTCTTTTGGACCGCGGCTTGTGTAGACACTCTCGACCACCTCTTATCTGTGCATTGTTCATTTTGCCTTCCACCACTAACACGAGATGACTGCATTACCCACTCAAGCGACAGTAGCCATCGTGTCCTTCGAGACCGTCCGATTCGATTTGGAGTACCCAGATGACCTTTCGTTGTTGGAGGACTCGTGTGACTACGTCGACCCTTCTGTGTGCATCGAGATGGGTTTATGGGCTGTAGACCAGGGTTGCGGCAACGACGCCATGATTTGTGCAGACACCGCCACGACAATCCTCAACTCTACCCTATGGAGCCATTCCGATGTGCCCCCCGCCTTCTCCCGTAACGAGCTGGACTGTGACGACTTGATCGACTCCGCTTTCGACTTGGCGGATATTTCGTGCTCGTTGCCCGACATTGTCAATACAGTACATACAGCGAAGTGGGATGCAACCAACACATCTCATTCGTCTGGGGGTATCGCAAGTGGCACGGTGGAAGGAAGTTGTGCACAGAATCTGGCTGCGTCAACATTTCACAGGGCTGTGGTCGCTGCAGACACGCCGGTGGCGAGCGACGTATCGCCTATGGTTTGGACCAAAGGTGCCCAAGTCAGCAAGCTGTGCAAAGCTCATGGAGGACGATGCATGTGTAAAGTGGGTGGATGCAAGAAAACGTCCCAAGGCCTTAACCACGGCGGGATCCCATATCTCCGAAAGTCAAAGAATAAACGTTCATAATCCATATTGTCATACTACGTAGTACTAGTATATACTAGCACTTACTTGGATGTCTTGAGTTATGCTGCCCCATCTGTGTACCTTGAAAGGGGCATCGTGGACGTCCACTTCTACGATGGTCGAGTGTGAAAGGAGCTCCGGCTGTGACCTCATCTAGGAGGCCCATGACACCTGTGTGGTCTTAGTGGTCAAACGACCACTACTTGTACTCGTCGACAGTCGCGAACGCGATAGTTGCTATCATTTCGCTTGGCCGGGACTACTGCCGCGCCAGTTTACGTCGAGAATATACCACTTGTGTGCGATTTCAGTCAACAACACAGGACCAATCATGACTAAGTTATTATTCTCACAAAATTCCTTAGATGTGCTAACAGTAAGAATAGAAAAGAGTGGGTTTCGTCAGAAATCACGTTTTTACTTTCTCCCACAAGACTCTTAGATGGGCTAATCATTAGAGTGTTTTTGTCAGTGGTCATCATGACTCATGTTTTAACTAGACGATCAGGGAGACTCCAAGGTGTTCTACGAATACATTTGGAGTGGGTTTCGTCAGAAATCAAAGAAAACGATATGTCCGATCACACCCTGAGGCGAGCGAGTTTCTCGGAACTTCTAAGCTGACATCGACGCGTACGATGTGGGCAATGCGACGCAGTAGCGTAGAGGCGTGTTCGAAGACGTCGGGGCGCACCACGCAAGGTCTCTAGTAACGTTGGTTTGAGGGGAGCTAGCTTTCACATGGGACGGTTGTTTGGCATAACGCCTACGACAAACAAGGAGCCCACGCGCGACGCAACAACACTATCGACTCGATGCCAGCCACGTGATTATTCCCTTGGTGAACCACGTGACCCCTTCGTTGCTGCGGCCGCGATTTCCACTCCGCTGGGCAGGGTGCCCGTCAACGCCACTCCCGTGAAAAACCCCTAGCACGACAACACAGGACGGCGGTTGCGTTGGCCGAGTGTGCCCATGCAATCCATTCACGAGCGCCCCACGTCAGGGCCGCAAGCGGCGACCACTTGGTGCAACATTGCCAGCCAGCAGGAGCGACAGATGCAGCTCTGTCTCGACTTCGACGAGAAACAGCAGCTACGACATAACAATTGTTATCAGGGCTCAAAACCAACCCATCCATCGTGACGTATGGAGGGAGGAGGGTCCGTACGACTAAATATCAGTCCTTATAAGGCGATTCTATGAGGAGTTAGGCACCGCACTTAGACTTCGTGCATAAGTCAATCTCACATGGCTACTCCATAGCCGGGTGGCGTGCTGTCCAAACTGGCAAATTCGGTCGCTTCCTGGGAAAAGCTACCACCAAGTATATCGGTGGACTTCACGACAAACCTACTTCGCACCATCACTTATACCAGTTGCTGCCACGTGGCACTCAAAATACTGTGCCTACCTATATATCATGCATAACGTTATATACGCATCATAGAATATTCTTCATCACGATAGAGACCTACACGGCATTGGCATATAAACTTATAGATATGGACGGCCCCTTCGCGTGGCCTTGACCACATGGTTCATAAACGTGTACAGTCAGGCAATTGCTTTCGACTGCACGAAGGTTGGTTCAATGTCGACCTCATGCGCAAAAGATGTTATCCATGAACTTGGCCATGATTCGGTTATCCGCATTTCTCTGAAGTAACGTTAAACTACGCCATTCAAATCGAAACATGAATCGCTACTAACGTTAGATAGATTAATTACAGTACATAGTGATCCTGCTCGCTGTCGACACTGCCCAAGCCGACTGGATCTCCTAGCCTTGCCGAAGACCCATCGAACACACATGCGTCCAATGGCTGGCTGACACAACCAACGACCTCCATCAAGCATTTGTCTCCTTCAAGAACGTCAGAACAGTGAACTTTTATGGCCGGCTCTTCATAGCACATGGCCATCTTGTCGTCGACTTCTTGCTCTTCATGGAGGGGGGAAGATAATCTGAGTGCATTCAAGCTGATCAATGGCATTTCCAGGTCTTCAAGCAAGCTATCGATGACGCCGCACAGGGTTGGTTGCATGTATTTGCGGTGCCGTCGTGACCGCACTCGACAACGTACTGCATTCCAATCCAATGAAGTCGATCGACTTTGCAGGTCATTTTCGACTGCCAAGCGAGAACTTGGACAAGAGCGCGACGTACGCGACTTCGGCCTCGGTCCACGTCCCCTGTCGAAGCGGACCTTGCAGGGGCTCCATCACCAGCGACACGAGCGATGGTTGATGAACGGCGTGCATGTGAGCTCGATAATGAAAAATGGAAAATGACTGCACGGATTCGACGGCCCCAAGCCTCGATAGGAGAATTGGCATATCTGGGCGAGAGACGACAGCACTACTAAGTACCATAGTACTGTACTTCGACGTAATACAGAGTTATGGTCACGTTATGTCTTACTACATTAATATAACCGTTATGGTGAAAATTATTCACTTGATACAATCACACCCTGAATGTAAACTGTAAAACACCAATATTCTTGCTAAAATTAATGCTTACAGTTAATAACACTGTAAACATGCACAATTTAAAAAGGGTAGCAAGACTACCTCTATAAATGAATCCGACAATGAAGACCACGGTACCGAGACATCTGCTTAAGCAATCCAATGGCACCTTACGTACGGCGTAAATCTACGAAATGACCGTGCCTCCATGTGAGTGATTAAGCATCATTTTGTACTGGTGATTGTTCCCATCATACCCCCAGATCCGTCAATTGTTCGAGGCATTGCCTGCGATGACGAGTTGACTAGCGAAAGGGGGCTGCTGAAACTTCAAAGAAGCTATGCAACTATTTAGCGCCTGATCTTACTGCATACTACGTATGTTCTTTTTAGGAGAATACAGTGTAAGTCGTGAAGTTCACACATCGCCTACAGTACTTGTTATTGTTGTGTGCGGTGGAATTCACCTTTATCGCTTCGTTCCTACTTACGTTAATAGTGGAAGTACTGTAAGGGTCTGCTACAGTACAGACACCAAGGCTGTTGGTGATAACGTTAAGCCAAATCGTTGTCATGAGAAGGGTATTTCTCAGGATCGTCCATCCCTGTCCGATATTTCTCAAGATCGTCCATCGAGAAATATCATTATTCCAAAGGAGGGAAAGTAATTCTATTGGTCAAAAGTAAATCGAGTCAAAGAGTAAAACCACTCGAACTCATTTCACGTTTTGCGGCCGACCACAGACTTTTGGGCAGGCGACAGTTGCGCACAGGCAAGAGGATGAGCCTGGCATACAGGTAGAGTGAATGGCAATCGCTACCTCATGTGTCCGGTGTCGCATCGTCGGACCAGGACGGCTGTGCGCAACTGTCGCCTGCCCAAAAGTCTGTGGTCGGCCGCAAAACGTGAAATGAGTTCGAGTGGTTTTACTCTTTGACTCGATTTACTTTTGACCAATGGAATTGCTTTCCCTCCTTTGGAATAATAATATTTCTCGATGGACAATCTTGAGAAATATCGGACAGGGATGGACTATCCTGAGAAATACCCTCATGAGAATGCGTAATGAATCGGGCGTTGCATTACACATACTCCTATTTCACCTAACGTATGGCCCCTCGCTTTGCAAGTTTATTTTGTGAGTTTGCCCCAAAACATGTTCAAGTGGTTATCCATCGGGCTACTACACTGTACTAGTACAGGTCTACGTACGGGCAACATACAGGTAATTATCCGAAGGCTTATTTCCCTCAGAGAAAAAGTTGTGCAACAACAGTCCCGCTACAGTAACGTTGTTGGAATAGTGCCACACAGTCGTGCCATACCTTTGCGAGCGAGATAACACCGAGTGAGGATGTTTCATACATAAATTTAATAATGTTACCGTGGTTCCGCGTTCACACAAACCATATTTGCATCGTATCAATTGCCTTTGACAGGGGGCGATGCAGTTGGTGAAGGGCCAGCCACAACATCTGACAACGAAATAAGCATGTGCAATCTCACTGTATCAGCCCGATGCAAAGCAAGCCAAAAGTACGTCGTAATCACCGGAGCATTTGTCCAGATAGTGGTATGGTCGTTTTTTTTGATACGACAAACCCTGGAAAAGTTCAATAAATCTGGATACCGTTCAACCAAGACTGAAAACCGTTCAAACTTATAAACTCTAGTTAGATGAGGCCTAAGTTTTGTACTCTGACCAATTCAACTCTTACTAGGGGATTTTTAGCATTATACTTCGAAGTATGTGCACGCGGGGGTAGGACGAAGTCCCGGGGTTGTACAGGGTTACGGGAAGAAATTTTGCTTGAACGGTTTTCAGTCTTGGCTGAACGGTATCCAGATTTCTTGAACGTTTTCCCATAGTTTGTAGTAGTACGTACAGTAAGTAGTATGCCGTAGGTTGAATCCGTAGTTCAAAGGCAATTTCGGTCGATGAAATGCAAAGGCAGGAAGCCCTGTGTTTCTTGAAGCCATCGCGTACACACTTGCAACCAGATCGACAGATTGCCATGGTGCACAACATAGCTTATACTCTGTGTGGGGTGTGACCCGTCGAGGAAATACGTTTGAGAGTTGTCACGAAGGGGGATGTTGAGAACGAAAACTTCGCATCAAAATGGATGGCAACAAGTAGAGACACTACTTGTACATTCAATCTTAGCCGAATATTTGTTCATTTAGTATTAAGGGGTACAACTGTTGGACAATTCAAGTACAGTATTGATGATGACCACACATGCCACGACACTGTCAAGTTCATTTACTACGTAGTAATATGACAATACTACGTAGTAACTATATCTTCGTTTGATATATGCCATACATTACTGCAATCCACTGATGACAAGGTTCTGCACATTATGTACTCACTGTCAACAGAAAGTAACAAGATGGACCATTCCGCAGGCGCTCATACACAGAATAAAAACGAAGTACTTATTGGACATTGGGATCATACTCGCACTGTACCGGTATGCCCAAAGGTACTACGTCTACTGTAGTATGTATGTACTGTAGTACTACAGTAGTAGTACTTATTACTGTACGTTCAGTAGCACTGTTAGACCTTCGACAGGTTCCAGAAATACTGTACCAACACGAACAACTCCCCCAAAACAATAACGTGGCACTTTTCATTTTACCTATTACCGTTCACGAGATGTTTGGGTCTCGAACTACAGCGACAGTGGCCATTGTGTCGCTCGACACCTTCCAACACGAGTCGGAGTACCTCGATAACTTTGTCGGGGGCAACTATTTCGAAGCGCCTGTGACCCTCAGCGTGGATTCGTTACCGCTGTTGTTGGACCAACGCTACGACCACGGCGTCGTGGTTCGCACAGACACCGTCAGCACCATCCTCGACTCTATACCGTGCGCCTTATGGGGTCATCCCTTTGTATGGACCAATGATGCGCTTGCCTACGATAGTACCGACGCATTGGTTGCTTCTATCGACTTGGCGGACATATCGTGTTTGTTGCCCGAGCTCACGAACACATGCGGCGAAGACGGGTGCCACCAACACATCCAATTTGCCAGGGGGTATTGCAGACTACATGGCGGGAAGAAATTGTGCAGCGAGCTTCGCTGTGCCAAACGTCCCCAGCGGGGCGGTCGCTGCTACAATCACGGTGGCGGAACCCGATGCATCGCCCATGGCTGCACCAAAGGCGCGCAAGCAAGATCCTTGTGCAAAGCTCATGGAGGCAAAATCAAATGCAGCGAATCTGGCTGCCAGAAAACGTCCCAGGGCCACGGGTTGTGTCGAAGCCACGGCGGCGGAAAGCGATGCATATTCCCACACTGTGAGAAAGGCGTCCAGCAAGGCTACTACTGCACCCCCCATATCCCGAAATCACAGAATAAACGTTCATAATCCATATGTTCATTTAACTACACTTGTACCAGCCCACTTGCCTTCAACTTTAGGACTGACATTGGCCACCCGACCGTCATAAAGCTGGGTGACAAGTTTTATTTACCCCTGAACCAAGCCATGACGCCCAAAGTTAAGGGAATCATGTATGTATGAACGTACAAATGAGCCGAGCAACTCAACGCGGCGAAGAACGTGCTTGAACGCGTTTTGCATGCCTCGCCCAATTGTGTATAGCCAGTCTGATGGGGAAATGGCTAGCGCATAGACTCCAGCGTGTAACTACCGCTGTCGCGTCGATCTTCTGACATTGGAATGCGGATTCCAATGTGAATTAACCGGTCTTTACACATTTTCCTAAACCCGCTAGGATATTTCCAACGAGACTCAGTGAATGTGCCAGTGAATAATTGTAACAAAACGACCTCTGGAAATATATCCGGATAATTGGTATAGTTACAGTTACCCTAAGGAGATATTAGTTTACAGAGTAGCTGCTGTCAAACGGCAGTGCTGCTAAATTCCATTCGTATAAATCTAAGAAACACACTCGTGTACTCGGAATGTCTTTGTAGTAAGCTTATTTTGGTCTTATACTTTCGCAACAAACATATACGTACGGTGCATGTCGTCACGATCACACTTCGCTTGGCTGTGTGCGTTGCGGTGGGATTCAGCTTTATTCTACTTCGCTCACTACATACCTAATATACGTATACTACGTAGTACTGCTAACTTACTCCTTCAACTAATGACTGTACAAATACGATGGTCGTTGACGATGAGCCGAATCTTTTTTAATGGATACTCTACTCGGGAACACAATCCGAATTCCCCCATAGAGTTCATTGCGGCCCCATCTCGCCATTTTACATCATGATTTTGCACCCTTTGATATCATACAGTCTGAGGTTATGAGCAGGTACGGGGAAAACATCCGAAGGCATGCTTCCTTGACAACAGTTTTGGCCACAAAAATATAAAAGTATATCCCACTATTGCAACGAGTGACTTGGCCTGCAACGGCCACACAGTTGCATGGTATCCACCGTAATGTGGACTTGTATACAGTGACCACACCTCAAGATAACGCCAAGTGAGGTTGGCGGCATTGACGCCAACTCAACTTCTTTTTCTGAGGCATCAGCCAAGAACGATCGCGTTCAACCAGCAATTTCCCATCAATCGACTGCGTGTGGCAGGTGTGATTGTTGTCCGTCAAGGGCCGGTTAGTTTGCAGTACATCACAACGGAATGTTTAGCTTCTGCAATCTCGCTTTTCAATTGGATAACGTTAGCTTAACTTTCGTTTTAATCTAACAGTTACACAAGGTGAAGCAATCGCGAAGGTGCAGCTGTACATACTTCGAGGTGTACTTCGAAGTATGTAATAATGGTGCGGTCGTTGCGGTTGGACTGATAGATGTGATAGACACTGGATATAGGCAAACACAGGACGTACTGCATTTTCAGAAGCTATTAAGTACTGCAGCACCGGATCGCAGTGCGTTTCCATTCTGGATCATCTATGGGGGTGTTCATTCCCCTAGCAGGAGATGGATTATGTTTTGAGAGTTGCCACGTAAAAGGTATTGACAGTGAATTGGTACATCGTCCTATTAACTGCAAGTTACTACAGTATACTTTTAATAGTATACTCCGGAGTACTAGTATGTAGTATGGAGTATTAGTACTACAGTGTATTACTACGTACAGTACTAGTCCTCCTAGTCCTACGTAGTACTCCGGAGTACAACTGTTTTATGGTTCACATCAACTTTTGCGCAAATTGTTGATGACCACATCTGGGATGCACACATCGTCAAATACTGGTAACAGTACTCCAATTGGCTGACCACAGGATCTTGCACTTTACTGTCCGTACTCCACGCAAAGTAACATCATGTACCATAGCAGAGAATACGCATGTCATGAACTACACGTAATCACTGCATGTGCTAAATCACTTCGTGCGTTCATACTCTAATGATCAGTTGTGGTTCCTTCACTACAGTACACTAGGATATCGTTAAGAGTATGCACTCTCCTTCTCTAGGACGACCAATTCCCTCAGTGAAACAGTAGTACTGTCGTTCCGCAGTCAAATTTTCTTTTTTTAGCCTGCTGGCATACAAAACCCAAGTTCGTGTAGGCACATACTTGAAGTAGTCATATGAAGTGTGAACATAAAACTCATTTCAGCTACGGGTTGAGTGCATCTCAGTGTTTAGCTATAAGTTAGCTAATGCAACTTAACTCCGGGAATGTACACGCAGGGAATCTGGGGGGGTTCCGGGGCTACTGTCTCTTGGTGAAAATGTATACGGAAAAACAGTACTACTGTGGCCGCGGGGAATTAATCCTGCTTTGACAGGCTCAAATTTTACTGTACAGCGACAGCTGTCCTTTTAAATTGCTTATCTGTGCATTGTTCATTTTGCCTTGCACCGCTAGCACCAACGATGACTGCGTTTCCCACTCAAGCGACTGTGGCCATCATGTCGCTCGAGACGTTCCACTTTGCTTCAGACGACATCGGTCGATTCCTTCCACTCTTTGAGGACGCGTGCGACTATTTCGAAGCGCCTGTGAGTTTGGACGTGAATTCGATGCCGCTCATGGATCTACGTTGCGACGACGGCGTCTTCATGCTTTGCGCAGACGCCGTCAGCTCCATCCTCGACTCCGTTCCG